GAGCTTGGAGAAGATACAACAGAAGCAAATCTCCAGGAATACCTTGTTCTCATGCTCGCTCTTAGACTCTGCTACCAGCCACTCGAGATGAGATACCAGGTGAGAGCAACCCCATCTCACCCAGGACGACTGTTCTTCACCGGGCACACAAGCACAGAGAGAAGCGGGGCAGTGGGGTGGGGAGCAGTGGGGTCATGCTGCTGGAGGCCCTGCAGAAAACACTTTCCTTTTCCCCATCCCTGCTGCCTCTGGGGATGTCCCCAGTCCAAACACCCAGCAGAGATGGAGGAGAGCCATGGAAAACAGGATTTGTGCCAGAAGGGACAAGACCATCTAGGCCATCTCTTAGAGAGGGAGGATCCCAGCATAGCTTCCCACGCAGGAGGAGGGAGGGACAAGGACAAACCCATTTAGCGCTCAAGTCCTCGGCAGCTCTAAAGCAGTCCTTACACAGCTGTGTGTCGCAGAAGAGACACACACCGAGTGCAAGCACAGCCAGGTACTTAGCACCAAGACTTTAAAGAAGCCAAGCAGCAACACCTACCTCTTCCTATCACAGCTCCAGCAATGCCAGGAGATCAGCATGGGTCTTACAACATCCACATCTCCTGTCCATGTCTGCTTTTAAATAAGAGGTCTTGAAGGGGAGTCCCAAGGGGAGCCAGGCACAGCCCTGCAGCCCAGCAAGGGTCAAGTTATGTCAGAAATGTTAGATGCAAAGGCACAAGTACCCACCTCCAGCAAGGCTGCTCTGGTAGGTCCCCAGCACTGCACTTTTGTTAAGAGACTACTCCAAATGCGCCCAGAAGCCAGCAAGGCTGACCCTCCTTTTCTGCAAGATCAGCTCTTTAGCTGCACTACCCACAGCCTTGTTTTTGCACAGCTGTGGCCACTCCAGCCCCCCAAAATTGGCCAGGTCCTGGGACCACACTCCCAGCACATGGAGTATGCAAGCCTTTACTACCAGTGGTGAAGAGACATCTGAGGACAGCTACAGATGGAACATGATCTAAGTGCTTCATCCACACCGTGCCACTGGACATCCCCCCCCCTCCACCCCCAGCTACATGCCATTTTTTCCTGGAGCCAAGCCATCTCCCACTTGTTCACACCACCGAGCCTTCTTCCTATACCACCAGGAAGGGAGCCCCACGCCATCCTCCTGAGGACGGGCACAAGCTCAGCCACGGCATCCCAAAGGCAATCCCCGCTCCAGGCAGCCACCCTGAGGTCCCAGAAGCTCAGGCAGATGGGTTACAGCTCTTCCCATGGGAGAGCATCCCAGTGGAGTGCCTCTCGGGCACCCAGGGCCACCAGCAGAGCCGCAGGGGGGATACAGAGCCCTGGCCACCACAGTGCAGCTAGGGCCACTTGACGCGAGGCCGCTGGAATGCAGCGAGGTTGCCGGCTGCCCCAGGAGCCAGGACTTATAAGGCACAGCAGCTAAAGGCAGGGAGGCGAGCTTGCAAAACAGGGCTGCAG